TTTTTTTTCATCTTCTCCAGGCTTTGCGATTGATACATCGAGTTGGCTACGTCCATCGTTGTGTATCACCCTATAACTTTGCAATTCGTCTCGAACCATTTTCGAAAATGACTTTGCAAAATAATCTCAGCGAACAAATATGTATTACTGATTTGGCATTTGCAAAGAAATACAAAAATGTGCAAAGAGCACCTCGAAGAGTGGTACCTTTTGTTGGTACCTACAAATACTGGTTGGTTTTTCAGAATTCAACGAATTTAGTGACATATTAATTGTACAAATGGCATAATAATAAAAGTTTTTACAGAAATTTTAGAATCCGATCTCGTTTTCAAAAAGATATAGAGCACTTTCAAGCGTCTCCAAAATTTTTAGCAGCAGTATTTCTCGAGACTTCTGAATGTTTGAAAAAATTTTCAAACCACCCACCATAAACCTGATCGACTTGTGTAAATGCAATAAAAACTTTTTAAATTTTCCGCCCTTGTGCTTTCGGCAACATTTTATTGCTTACTTATACAACGGAGAAAATGGTGTGAAAATTACAGCTCATTATCAGCTCACCAGCACATGGAACAATTCCCAAAAGATGATCTAATATCATGCCTTTACATGTTTTATGAGTTTTTAAACGGCTCATTACCCTGGAAAGGCCTGAAAAACGTTAAGGCAATTCATATTAAATACTTACTGATTTTTAGCAGTCTTACTTTCAAAAATGTGCATAAATATCTCCATCTTTCTATTCTGGAAAATAAAAAGTCAAACATCACTGCGTGCTTATCGGTTCTTAAGTTGTTTCAAAATTGGACAGCTAACCAATCAGGAGTGTAAACTTATTTTGCAGCAAATAAAGAAACTGAAGCGCGATTTCCAGTTGAGACCACCAATTCTCTCACAGAATACATACTTGAGCAGAATGGCATTTGACCTCAGCGAACTTTCAGGAATGTTTACAATGCTCGAAGAAACGAAGCCTTAGTGAGTTTAAGCAAAGTTCATATAATACATCAGGAAGATAGAAATATTACCAAAAGTACAAAAATATTGAATAAAATTGTCAAATAAGTGACAGTTTTCCCCTGCATAAATTGTGTTACCTAAATACTTGGCTGTCCCAATTAGCCCTTTAGGAAAAGATGTGCATATTCCTTTGAGGCTAAGCACAGAATATCATTTAAATCAACTGCTACAGTAAAAACACAACTGCACATGTGCATACGCATTTGCAGTATGTAAAAATGCGCAGTGTACAAGCAAAATATGACGATGCCAAGTTGACAAAGTGTCGTGTTAACTATACTCACTGCAGCAAGTTTCTTGATGCTGTAGCACTTATTTAAAACGTTAGGTAGCGCTTCTCATCACTTTTCTTAAACTTCGTATGCAGTCCATTTCTTCGACACTGGCCCGTTTATAAGTGGAAAACGCAGCCAGTTGTAAATGAAAAATGCAAGCTAAAATGGTGCTAGAGAGGTTTGTTTCTGCTTAGCGCTGAAGAGGTTTTTGTTCTGCATAGCTGCAAATAAATGAGGTACTTACCAAGGTGGAAGGAACCAGCAGCAAACACAGAGCACTTCCCATTTTCGAAATGTTCTTTCAGTGGTCGCAACATACCTTATTTAATGGTATATGAACTGTTAAATGCAGTAGCAACCAAATATGGCACACTCGGCGCAAAAACATGTGAACTATTCGATAATTTCAAGTATGCATGTCCTTATGAATATTTTGGAGTTACCTATGATTACTGGCCAGAAAATTCGTTTTTAAACTTTGTTTCTGTCAAAATTCTGATCAAAAAA